TTCACGTGCAAAATGGTTGACTACTAGTTCTTTCATGAAACCCTGATAGAAACATGCGAACTGTTTGTTTCCAATGAATACAACAAGCGGTGTTTTGGTACTTTTAGAGTATTTTATTATTATTACTACACATATTGAAAGTTTATAAAGACATTTGTGAATAATTAATTTTGACAAGTGTGCCAACAAGATATTTTAATAATTTTACTACATATATTGAAATATTATTAAGACAACTTAATTAATAATTACTATCTCCTTTTCATAATGTAAGTCTAGTCTTCATTTTGAGTTATGTCAAATATAAGTCTACTTTCTATCCCAATGCATAATTTTCTTTATTTTGTCTCTTTAGTGATTTTTGAGTTAAGTAGTAGTTGACTTTATTAGTTAAAGTTAAAAATTGACCTTTTTATCTTTGTTAATAATTAACCCTTAATACATGTGCCACTCAAAAGTGGACTTAACTATAAAAAAAGAGGTAGTATTCCACCAAGAAGTCAGAACATAAACTAAATTCACATTCTAAGCTTTAAACGTCAAAGGAAACCTATACCCAACCAATCATCATAGGTATAAACCTGTATCCCAGATGCAACAACTCATTTCTAGGCTCTTACATTAGCAACAATATTTCAAGCACTCAATAAATTTTTCTTGGTGAAATGACTCAATGGAATTTTTCTTAGAATGATTCAATGGAAAATTTATTGAAATTTGGAGTTTAACCAGTCATTTCAACTTTGAACTAAATGTTGTTTGCAAGTACCACACTTGTAATTTGTGGTTTGAATACCGTTGTTTACAAGAATGAAACTTGTACACTTTATAATTTATCTTAGTAAAAATAATATCCTCAAGAGAATTGACTGAATTATTATTATTATTATTATTATTATTATTATTATTATTATTATTATTATTATTTTTGATAAATGTTGACTTGATTATATCCTAAATCTCTCCGCCCTTTTTTCATTTTTTTCTTTTAACAAAAGTCTCGAACATCAGTTACTGATGGGTTTAACCATCAAACCATTTGAAATCACTAAGAAAGAAGTGCTCCACACCAAGCAGTTGATGAGGATGCTAGGGCAAAGAATTAAATGGTTATTGTCATTCCTTGCTAGATGACGAACTCAAATATTGGTTGCCTTACATTTGAGTTTGCTTGATTGAGCAGTATCCCACTTTCTCTGGACAAAAGATCAACTTCCTCAAATCCATTTTGCTCAGCCATCCTAGATGAAATCTTTTATTCTTACCACCTTGCAAATCCCTAAGGGGTAATTTGAGAGCAAGTACCTAGGTATGTCATTGGATTTTAAAGAAAAGAAAAAGTTGATTTTTCAAACTTTTACTGCCAGGTTGAGGAGCAAATTTGCAGACTGGAAGACAAAACTTCTCTCTCTTGCAGGTAGAATTACACTTGCAAAATCAACCTTGTCAGCCATGTTAGTCTACCCAATGGGAGTCTTCAAACTCCCTGCTTCCACTTTACAAGAGGCTGATCGCATTGTTGTACAGTTTATTTGGAAGGGTGATAATTTGAACTAAGGTATTCACTGGAGAGTTTGGAGGAAAAGAGCCAAATTTCAATTCATGGAGGCTTAGATTTAAAGTCCTCAAAGGAATTTAACCAAGCGTTACTCGCCAAACATGCACGGAAAATCACATCAGATCCTGGCTCTCTCATTTTGAGACTCTATAGAGCCAAATATTGTGGTAATGGTGTTTTTCCACAACCACAACCTCTAAATAACTCCACTTGGGGTTATAAGAGTATATTATGGGGAGCTTAATTATTATCTCAGAATATCAAGTGGAAAGTGATCTCAGGAAAAGACATCAATATTGCTGATGAGTGAATTCCTAATCATTCCAACCCGATACAGAGGAATTCTTTTCTTGCCACACACTTTAATCTTAGAGTCAAAGATCTGATCCGCAATGATGGCCAATGGAAGCTACAGTTTCTGCGCACGATATTCCCAGAGCATACCATTCCTCACATCACAGGGATTTTTATAAATCCAAACAAGCTTTTGGAAAATGATAAGTTGCAATGGACGAAGATTGATCATGGAAAATATACAGTGCACTCAGGTTATCACATAGCTATCAACCTGCTAGTCTCCAATGATGTTCAGACTCAATCTCCAACTGATGTAGAAGTTAGAGCCTGGAAATGCTTGTGGAATACTAAAGTTCAACCAAAGATGAAACTGTTGTTATGGAGAGTAGTGTTGAATACTCTTCCAACTAAGATGGGTTTACAAAGAAGAGGTATTGAGCTGGATATCACATGCCCTCGTTGTGGAAATCAGGAGGAGGATAATCTGCACCTCTTTATAACATGTCTAGTATCTCAAGCTATTTGGAGTTTTGCTCATTCTTCATTCCAAACCATTCATAACTGTACTAGCTCCTTCTTACTGGAGTGGTACTTAGATTGGATCGATCGAGACATTCGACGAAGGACATGGATTTATTTCTAATCTTTCTTTGGAGGATTTGATCTGGAAGGAATGACAAGATTTGACGAAACCAGGTGCACAGTCCGGTCATCTCTTGGCGACTGATTCAAAGTGATTTGCAGTAACATAATCAGATGATCAAAAGCCAAACAGCCCCTCGGAACTCTAATGTAGAGAGCCTGACTCCGGCAAAACAAGGTCCAGTTTTAGATGCCTCAGTTCACTTTGATGGCTCTTTCCACCCAAGTACAATGGCAGCAACAGGTGCATAAAAGATTACCTCACCTTAGGGCGCTATAATGCAAACCAAGGTGACCCACTCCAGGTGTTATCACCTTTCTAAGCAGAAGCCATGACCTGTCTCATTGCGCTCCGTGAGGCTTCACAACTCGGACTGACTCGTGTGAAAATTTACACCGATTACGAGTTATTATCTACTGATCTACGTGCTATACTTGTGACGACGGAAGCACAAGAAGTTAATTTATTGCTTTATTATTAGCTTTAATTTCATCTTTTGAGTCTTGCCAACTAATTAAAATTAGCAGATATCCATAATATGGTTTATAATTCATGTCGATGTAATAGCATAAGTACTTGTAATTAATATCATGTACCATTTAAAAAAAAAAAGAAGTCTTACTAATTCAATTTAGCATGAGGACTTGGAGTTACCACTTTTGAAGCTTTCTGACTCAAATTTTCCTCCTACAGTGCATCCATCGCCTATTACTGATTAGATGCTTTAGGGTAATGATGTACATTTCACAATATAAAGAAGACAACCTAGTGTATAATTCAAACTTTAGATACTGAACCTTCCAAATAGAAGGCTAAAAGAGATCCACGTGACATTGGTCTGAAGGGATCCAAATATGCCTTCTGCTGGAAAATTGGAATCCCGAAAATGGTTATTTCAATAACGTTTAGGTTATTTGGATTCTCGCAATCACCAACTAAGATTTGATATGTTCAATAGAGTTAAAATTTATGCCCAAAATAAGCCGCGCGATCTTTAAGTTGTTCAGTCTAACTTAAGAACACTACACAATCTATCCTCCACTTGGAATGAGTACACCAATCAATAAATATAGCTATATAGAAACAAGAATTTTATTAGGTGGTGATGCAAAATGGAACAGGAATGAATTTAATACTAATAAGATGGTGAAATTCGATAAACATTAATACATAATAGAGAAACAAACCCAACCCAAGAAAGGATAGGTAGAAGTGATTGTTCAATGAACTTTCTGATTATAAGGGAGTGGGTCATTTCTATATGCTAATGAGTCAATTAATGCTCCCCACTCTCTCTTCTTGTCCCTATTCTAATAAAATTCAGAAATTCATCACCACTATATTACTTTAGTTCCATTTTAATAATTCATCTGTAATAATATTTTTGTTTAATAATGTAAACGAGCAAGTTAAGAATATCTAAAAGAACTAAAAGTAAGAAAGAGTTTGACACACTGGTTTGAAATTACCATCTGATAGGATATAATGAACTAATGTTGCATCAATCTACGGCAACTCTAGAACTCCACCAATTAGATTGATCTTTAGAACATGTTTTGTAGTTTCAATACTTGGCAAAAACCATACTTTCAGGAAATATTGAAGTTAAATGTGTGGGATGATTATGATTTTTGGGGTCAATTTGGAAGACAGAAGTTCTGCTTTATTTCACTTCTTCAGGGTTTTGTTTGTGTAACATCGATTAGGAATTTAGGGTTCATGTGGGGATGAGATTGACTTCTTGCTTTGTTGATGAATAATGCTGAATTGGTTCAAGAGTGATGTTTCCTTGTTCCAACAACATTCATTGAGTCTATATCAAAAGAAGTCATTTCACTAACTGCCCCTTCTCTAGAATTTGTGTATTAAATTTTGCAGATAAGGGTGTTCTACTAACGAAGTACTATCAACAAGCTCATTAACATGTTATAAATCAATTTGCTAATGACTCTATACGTACCAAAATATTGTATTAAAACAATACAACAAATACGATAATCATTTTATTGAACAAAGAAGTACATTGAATTTTTTGGCCAAGCGGTTAATTTAAGTGTCTCGATTTATCTCTTCCAATCTTTTAAAGAAATATGTCGCGTTAAAATATACTATGTCCATACTCTGTACCGTGCCACTACTATTAAACTTTTAATTGTAATGGGTAATATTTTGATTACTCCATCATAGAAATTATGTATGTTGTAATAAATTATGATTCTTATTTTGAAATAGGATCGATATTATTCTTCTTCTGTATAATAATAGTGATGAAATAAAAGTTTTAAAATTGACTAAATGAATCTTAGTTTGATAACGTCTCTTATTATTCTTTGTAAACCTATTTTACTACAACAAACACGATAATACCTTTGGTACAGAGGGAATAACAATTCTGAAGGATCTACGTGCCAAGAATCGATAGGATCTGCTCGTTTCATTTTGGAGCCAAATATTTATCAACAGAAAGCTTACAAAGTTGTGATATCCTTTACAAACATGGACTTAATGAAGGAAACGAAAAGAAGACAACTCTAACACAAATTTGTGATTGTATAGCATTCTAATCATTCCTGTACTGGCTTCATGTAAATTCTCTTTATGTGTAATTGTGTATGATGTTCTTGCTTCTGCTAATCTGCTCTATAACAGCAATACCAACAATGCCAAGGACAATGAACAACAATTTGATTTCATCACTTTACATCACGCTCTGCGAGCAATTTCTCAATGATTGTTCATCTAATCGTCTATGACTCAGAAGCTCCCAAGAAACTTGAGGCCGAAAGAGATCCACGTTACATTTTGGTCCGAAAGACTTCCAAAATACACCTTCCGGAAGAAAATTGCGGTGCATGACAATGGTTTCTTTGAATGAAATCTTCGGTTATTTGGATGCTTATTATTTGCCAACACCAACTGATCAGGTATGATATGTTCAGTGGAGTAAGAATCTATATGCTTAAACTACACAGATCTTCAAGTTGATCAGAGTACATGAAGAAGACTAGGTCATCTATCTCCCCTTAGACTAGCTTCTGCTCTCGGTCAAGGGATGCATGCAGATTAGAATAGGCAGTATATACCAGAACAGAACCTATTAGCAACAATCAAAAACAAAAAGAGACCTTAAAATGCAAAATAAAGTAAAACTTCACTATCGATACAATTAGCAGAGTACATAACATGCTACAAGCAGGTAATCGTGGTTTGTTTTACATCAGTGACATGTGATAATAACTGCATAACATTATACATTTTCCATATGAGGAGACTCAATACACATGAGAAATCCGCAATTAGAAGTATTCCCATATACATCACAAACAATAGCCGAGAAAGATCCCCCCAGGAGCTTTCATCTATTACAAAGGAAAAATGTACAGTAGCGCCACCTGAAGAAAATCTGAGTTCCCCTCTTATTTTGACATATGGCACCGCCAAAAAAAATTGGAAAAACTGTTGAGGAAGCTTACTTTTGATTTTGCTCAACCTTGGCTCGGATCTTTTGTTCCAACACAGAGATCTCTGTTTCAAGGCTGAACATTCTGTTGAGAGCATGCATGTTCTCGAGTGTCTCGCTTAATGTCCGGCTGTCACTGCCATCACATCTCAAATGCTGCATGGGACCATGAAGAAGTTTGTTAACTATACCTCGGCTAAGGTCATCAACAGCCCTTCTTGTCTTCTTTGGGATATCGTCACCCAACTTTGACAAGCATTTCTCCAGTTCAGCTGTCCTAAGTCTCTCGGCATAGGCCCGCAGTTTCTTGATAGTAGGAACTGTCTCTAAGGAATCACGCCAAGCTTCAAATTGTTTAGATTCTTCAGCTATGATTGCCTGCGCTTCCATTGCTTTCCTGAGACGGTCCTCTTTGTTAGCAGCCACAACCTCCTTAAGATCGTCCACATTGTATACTCGAGCACCCTGAACCTCATTAACACATGCTCCAACGTTTCTGGGAACAGATATGTCAACAAAAAGCCTCAAACCTCCAACACTTGGATCAACATGTGGAAGATCCATCACATGCTCCTTCATAAATAATGGAAGTTCTGATGCCGTGCTGGTAAAAATAACGTCTGCTTGGGCAGCGCATTCCATCATTTCATTAAGAGGCTTATAGATAATTTCAGCATCCTTCATCTCCTCTCTAATGGCAGCAACTCTTTCTTCACTCCTGTTTACAACAACCATCTTTGTGCATCCTTTAGCAATCAAGTGCTTAATCACAAGCTTACCCATCTTTCCTGCTCCAATTACCAACATTCTAGCTGTGGCATGAGAGGCTTCTGGAAGCTTCATTAAAGCCAATTCTACAGCAGCTGAACTGACAGAAACTGCACCAGCTGCAATATTTGTTTCAGTTCTAACCCTCTTTCCTACAGTTATTGCGTGCTTGAATAGTCCACTGATGTTCCTACCGAAACCCACAACACCCTGGCCAACTTTGACAACTTGTTTGACCTGAGCAAGGATTTGTCCTTCCCCCAAAACCAAAGAATCCAATCCTGCTGATACTTCAAAGATGTGCTGTGTGGCATCCTTGTTATAAAGTAGAAAACGGTGCTTGCAAATCTCCGAAACAGGGATACCGCTGGTCTGTCAAAGAAGATACAGTATTGATATGAGTGGACATACATACCAAACTAGTTGTCCAAAAAAAAAAGTAGAACAGGACTTGAGAAATTATGCAGAAGAGAATCCTAATGTCGTGTGTAAAAGGACAATATAATATGAGAAGAAGTGCACATTCTCGAAGTGGTTCAGATATGAGAAGTTTTGAAATATTAGACGTGCCACTATGGCATTAACAATTTGGAACTATAAACTCAAGAAAGAAAAAGGAAGAAGAAATCTAGAAAGACTTCAGAAGAGACAAGACACATTTCAACCTTACATGTGTTAATACTGAACATAAATGGGAGGATATGATCACGGACAACTGCACTTAGTCAATTGAATGCTTTGTTGAATTACATCGTGACTGACTCTAAACCCATTGTTCTTTATATTTTATAACAGCCAACTAAACTGTCACTGTACCTTTGACATCCATTCAGTCACTTCTTTAACACCACGATGCTGGGAAAGAGCAACAACATATATCTCCATCCTGTTACAGGTACTAAGAACAGCTGCCTCTTCAATATGATTTAAACCACACAGCTCGCCAATCGCTCTAGGCCATTCTGCCTCTGGGATGGCAAGTTTCTCTCGCATTTCAACCGGGGCGGTGTGGATGCTGAGTCCAATGACAACAATGCTACTTCTTTCTTTCGTATATCCTGTACAAAGACAGTGACAGAATTTTAGGGAAGAAACAAGTAAAACAAATGACAGAAAACTGATCACATCTTTGTAGTTCACAGCACAGATTTTATGACTCCAAAAACAAAAACACAAGTTTGTTTATATGCGCCGACCAGAAGCACAAGTTTCATTTCCAAATTATGCAAAACGAAAATATGGACCAACTTAAAGGCACCTCAACAGACTAGTAATCATCTTCATACATGCAACCAGGAGGAAATGAAATAGGTAACAAAAATGTACACAGAAAACAAAAGGAAAACCGAACAAAAAAAAAAATCATTTTTCTCTAATAATCTTGTTCAGCCAATGAACTGCTGACTGTCTTTAACACATTTTCGAGCTTTACAGGAGGAAAGTATGAAACTTGGCTTTAAAATTTCGAATCCTACATAAAATTCGTTCATTCAAATAACGTGCAATGAATTATGCATAATAAGTGGTAAAGTGCCAATATTTAAGGAATAACATGGAATCAAAGTTAATTTAAAACGCAAAACACTAACAATTTACAAACTCTAAATTTAATTTAAAATAACCACATAGGAAGATAATTCCATATCAAAGATTAAAAATTCCAACACAGAAGTTCAAAGGATTAACAAAGCAAGAAAGATAAGGAGGAGCATTACTGTCAGCAGCTGAGGTCTTGAGCTGCTCAAGAGCCGATAAGCTGGAAGCCGAGGCAGAGGAAGAAGAAGCCGCCGCGTTGGTGGTACTAAACTCCATTTTGTCGGAAACCTCAACCGAAACATCGGACGAAACCTCGCATCGAACGGAAGGAATTCCGCCGAAACCCCTCTGAATTACCAAAGAAGAACGCCTGGCGGCTCGAGCTGGCTTGCAAAACAACCCAATTTGGGCAGGGGAAGCCGCCGCCATCGGAGACGCGGACGACGACGACGTATTACTCACCAACAAAGTCTCCAGCTTTGCGGCAGCAAATGCGCTTGATACGGCCATCGCCGGGGCAAATTCTCAGCTTCCGGAAGAGGAAAAACGCCGTCGCAGCTAATGGCCGCCTCCCGGAGAAAAGGGAGTTTGGAGTTATGTTTTTTTGTCAAAATTGAGGATTCTTTGGGCTTTGATTTGTTCGTATGTTTTTGTTTTTTGACTGTTAATTTTGGAGGGGAATTTGAGGTTCTGTTTTTAATTTTTCTTCGGGTTTTTTTTTTAATTGTTTTTTTTATATATATATAATTATGATTTTTGGGTTTGGTTATGAGCCATTGGGGATTTCTTTGAGGTGTGATTGGCTGGTGGCTTCCACGTTTTATCCACACTCGCTGATTTCTAACCTCTAACAACGACTTTCAGATCTTCTGTGTGGGCTCCACCTTCCCTTTTCTGAGTCGATATGAGCCACGAGGGGACAACTCCACCAAATTAACTACAAGAAAATATTGTTTTTATATATTTTTTTTTAAAAAAAAACTATAGGGAAATTTTAAAAATGCTCAATCTCAAAAATATCCACTTTCATAAAATTTCAAGGATTACTATTACTGGTAATAAGATGGAGTAGTAGGAATGCATTACGTTTATTGTATTTTGGCTAGAATTTAAGGGGATTTTTTCGAAAAACAATAGAGAATGATTATCGTCTAAGTGACGAATTCAGGATTGCGTTCATTAAAATTAAGAATTCTCTAATTCAATAATTGTCGATTCTGGCCTAGTGGTTTGAAAAATAGTAATCTAATTTTGTGTAATAATTTAATTAGTCATATATGTTTTATGCAAGCTCAATTTGGGTATTTTGAAATGAAAGGTAAAAGTCTCCCATCACTCATACTAAAAAAAAAAAAATACATTATCTTAAGGAATAGGATTAGGGCATTATCATGCTATTGTCCAATGGATGCTTGTAATGGTGATATTTGCGTGATCTTTGATGGACGAACTTTTGAGATCAATCCTATTCGTTTTAATTCACATTTTCTGTTTTAATCATCAACCAAATATCCACACTAATTGGTTAAATTAAATGATAAGGACCGTTCTTGAAATTAACTAGGTCGGGGACTTGATGTGTATGCAATCATTCCCATTATGTGCGTCATTTTCTGTAAAATATCATTGAATTTTCCTTTATTTCTTGCATTTTGATTAAACAAATTCTTCCCCCACCAAAAAAAAAAAAAATACTCCTTCCGTTCCATAATTATTGTCCAGTTTGGGTTTTCATTTTTAGTTCAAATTGGACTCAAAGTAAAATGTAAAACTGGACAATAATTTTGAGACAGAGACAATAATTAAAATGATCCAGTATATTATTACAAGTACATTGAAGGAGGGGGGGGAGGTGGAATTAAAAAAAAAAAAGAAAAAGAAAAAAGAAATGAAAAGATAAGATGGGAAGAGAGTCAAGAGACTATGGTGAAGAACTTGTGAAGGGCATGCGCTTTGTGGTAAGATTTTGGGGCGTTGTCTGCCACAAATTTTAGGAAGAGAAAATATGGTGGTAGCTGATACAATTACGTTCACCCTTTTTCAGAGATTTTATCATGCAGGTGGACGTGTTTTTTTAAGTGACTTTTGCATTATGCAATTTCTTTTGCATTATGCATAATATTCCACACTCGTTTTTTAAATTTGAATGAATGACGGATTTTTTAAAAGTATATTAATTATTTCATCGATATCCAAAGTTATGATGTTGTTGGTATTTTCAAGTAAAGAGGATCAAATAACCTTGCAGACCTGATGTAGTTAGTTTTTTTTTTTTTTTTTTTGAGTTTCTAACACTGCAGTCATAGTAATATATTTTTCTCAAAAGAAATTCTCATTTTAGTTTTTTCATGTTAATTTCAATATTTGCGTTCAATATATATAGTTTTTTCAAGGGGTAGTATTGTCAATTGTGTGTGTGTGTGTTTTTTGGTTTTTTTCGGGTTTTTTGGTTTGTAGTTTTGTGTGTGTGTGTGTGTGTGTGTTTTTTTTTAAAGTACGTAGGTTTATTTTTCTATAATAAGCAATAAAAATGAAAAACGGCCTATAAAATGTGATATACTCACCAGAAAAGCAACTGTGGTTGCAATGAACAAATGTGTTCCTTTCTCCTTCTCATACACCACCAAAAGATCTTCAGTATTGCACCTTCTTCTGGTTCTTTGTCTCTATTTTCATCGAAGACACAAGAATAAACGCTTCTATTAATTAATAATAATCCAAGCTGCTTCTTTTTTTTCGTCCGAAGAAAATAAGAGTATGGCACAGCAATTCATAGTCATGTTTTAGGCGTAAAATTCCCGCGTGCTAGCTAGCTAGTTGCAATTAGTTTAACTAAACTCACTTTAAACGATAGGCATCAAAAAATAAATAAATAGTACTAATATATCATTAATGTTTGATGTTTTTTTTTGAAAAAAAAAATGGAACATTAGCGTTCTTTGGAAATGTAGCCCTCGATGGTATTTAAACTAGCAGTATGCTTGAGGTTGCAAGTTTTCATGTATGGTATCTTTAACCCTCTCAAATGGGAGGCAGCATTACTATGCTCAAAGTTCACTGATTACAACATAATAATACAAAAAAAAAATAGAAAAAAAGAAGAAGAATAAAAATTATTTGCCTGAGATCAAAAGTTCAAGTTTCATTTTACACGAATATTGAACTCTATCGTGATCGTGTTGAATACTCAATATAAGTTAACAGTATAAATTACGTATGTTTGATAAAAAGATAGCCGAACAACTAAATATGATTAACTATGCACGTTTACATTCTTCGATTGAAAAAAGAAACCCGGTAATGATCGTATATTTTGTGCATTCAATTATATGTCTAATATATGGTACAGTACCTTTCATATGTATATGCTTGTACTTTTTAGGATTAAGAGAGCATATATTGCACTACCATATTGCAAACATCACAAAGCCATATAACAAGAATTCCACCAAAATCGAGCTAACTTGTAGAGCATCTTTACTAGGTTCAAGGTATCAAATCAATTACTAGAAACAAGGCCGACATCCTTGCCTTGGCTTCCAAGACATTGTAAATCTTAAAGCTTTAATCGAGAATTAAATTTTCATTTCCGAAACAAAACACGAGGCAGGCCAGATGTCTAAAAGTGAGGTCCAATTGGTACTTACGCTTTTTAACTTGACTTAGTACGTACTACTACATAGCATGTATAGATAATAAATCGCGCAATTTGCAATACTCTTAGGTTTCTTCAACATTAATGAAATTAAATGGTATCCTTACAAAATTGTAACCTTTGGTTGCCTTAACTATCACTTGACATCTATGTTCTACTCATTCAACGAATCAACGTGACTCTTTCTCTCAAAGTACCATGTGTCAAACTTTGAATATTTGGAATCTAATATTCAACAACCTAGTGAGGTACGATAAGGATTTGGTGAAAATAATAATTTTAGACATCATGTGTATAATAATATACCCAAAAGATTTATTAAAAAATCAAAATTTTCTCTAATTATATTCTTGCTTTTTGTTCACACGCTATTTGTTAGGATTAATTCTCTACATCTAATCATACTTAATTGAAGACATTGATTTTAGTATGTAACATTGTAAATACTTTTTTTCCTTTTAATGATGAAACTGTTTAATAATTAATACAATTTGAGAATACTCCCTCGTGTCGTTATTATAAGTCATTTTGATTTGTCATAAGTTTCACCTAATATGTTTTTCTAATTGGAAAAAAAATCTTTTAAATATTTTTTAATAATTAGGAGAATACAATGAGTGTGAAAATGTAATTTTAAGATTTTTTTTTTAAGCGAAAAAACATACTAGCTCAAGGCTAATTAAAATGCCTTATAATAAAGAACTTATAATAAAAAACGGAGGGAGTAGTAGCTTCAAGCAAAGCACAAAACTTTCAATGTAATAAACCATTTAGTGGTTAAGCACGCCAGTTTATGCATGTTGCTTTCGGATACATTAGGTAGGTGTGTAATATCTCAAAATAATCAGGTTGCCATTGTGTTGGCGTGCGACTCTTTCAATGGCTTTATATCAGCGTAAGATCCTTTCAACCAGTTCCTTTGATCAAGTCTACATATTCTGCACAAAAAGGTAACTTTGAGTTCAAAATTTCGATTAAAAATCTCAAGTTCAATTCTCAACTACAATGACATAACGTAGTTTGATTTTCCCTTCTCCTAATTAGTTACATTGTGTTTGACCATAGAATTACCTACGAATTAGATATTAGAAAATTTTTAGCAAAGTATTCCTCCTTTTTACAAACACGTACATATTCACAAATGCACGCTGGAGATTCCCCCCTTTTTACAAACATTAAGGACAAATAAGCTCACCCTACATACTGACTCAAAGACTAAAGTTGAAGATTGAGTTGCATGGAACAAGTTTCGGTCAATTATCCAATCTCTTATTTCGCTACTCAGTCGCTGTTATCGACGTTAAACATAGGCGTTAAAATTTAAAAATGATGATATGCAAATTTTGCAAGCTCCCGTTGGTGCAGGGCATGATTGCATGTGACTCGTTTTTCAAGTGTGTCTTTGGATCCCCCAAACGTACAATTAAGAAGAGGATTTGAAACCCAATTCCAACCAAAGTTAAGAAGCAACCTTGGTGTTTCTTAGGATCATCCCTCAGACAATAAAACTACAACTGGGGAAAGCCTTATTAGAGGTAAAACAGAATGGACCCGAATTGCAAATCAGCCTTCCCCGAATCAATCCTACAAAACGACGACTCGTTTACCAAGAAGGTCCATCTCATCCATGAAGGCCCAATATTCAATGAAGGGAAAAGCGTGTGGCGACCACAAGTCCAACTAGTCCTTTTTCATAGATATAGAGGATTGTTCGGTCTCGTCAATTTATCGACAACGATGATTAATCACTCACTGATTAAATTGTAAAATCTTCAGCTTATATATAATTAAGTGTGAAGAAATACCTTCAAGTACTCTTTTTCTTTTCCATCAAATTAAATATTCGAGAAAGTAAGACCTTTGGGTGGAGAAGTGAGAACGTAGGAAAATGAAAACCAAAGGACCACCCGTGCAATGACCCGCAAATTAGTATTAATACTAAGATTTAAATTTTTTAGCACTCTATGTAACCAGAGTTAAGTTGATCACTTACTCTACTTGCTCCTAGTCATCCAACTGAGAGTGATCCCAGTTGAACTCTCCCCCTTTCATGAACTGCTGTAATAGAAAAATTAAGATGGATTGATAGTTTTGGTTTCAGCATGTACGAATAAAAAA